GAGGAGGAGCCGCCCCGCCCTCCCCGCGACGCGCGGCCCCCCGAGGCCAGCAGGGGGCCCCTAGAGGGGGCGGGCGAACACCTGTTTCTTCAGTTGGGGGTTAGAGAGCCGCGGCGGGGGACGCGGTCCCTCCCCCTCCCCCACGACGAGCGGGGCGGGAGGTTCGGGGCGTGCTACCGCGAGTCCGCTCCGGATTTTCCCGCCCACTTTAACTCTGTGAGCGCTTCGACCGCGCGGCGCTTCACTCCAGCGGGCGCGCCCGAGCCCTCGGCCGGAACTCGTTGTGCCACCCCCTCACATTTCCCCCCACCACCGGAACGGAAAGTGAGCTCGCACCCCTCTTCGCCCTCCAGTGTCCTCGGTCCGGCCTCCACTCCCTATTTTCTCAGGGTTCCCACCCGGGCCGGCCCTGGCAGTTCCATAGGGGTCCCCGACTCAGGGCGCGCGGAGGAACTACTTAACGTGTCCGTGCGCCCGGCAGTGCGGCGCGCTCGGAGCTCTTCCTGGAAACTCCCGCCTCGGGGAGCCAGGAGAGCCGGCCGGCCGGGGGGGAGGGGTGCGCGCCAGGCTCCCCCCCCACCTTCCCGGGGGAGGGCTCGACGTCCCCGCCCTTCTCCCGGCCGAGGGGAGGGGCGAGCGGGGGAGGGGAGGGCGCGGAAGCCGAGGTAGGGGGCGCTTCCCGCCCCACCCGGCCTCTAGAACAACGGGTTCCCGCTGCTGCCCCCTGCCGCCCGCCGCGGCTTCGACGGAGGCGTCGGGGGGCGCCGCTGCCGTGGGAACCAGACCCGGCACGCACGCTCTAAACCTGCCCGGGGTCCCTGTCAGAAAACTTGCAGCTACTTTCGAGAAGCCGGTTGCGGCCACTTGGGCCCCACATGCCACTTAGCCTGGCGACCTCTCTTGTACTTTAAAACAACGGGGAACGGGCTGGGACGAAGCGTTGCGCGGCTCTCACTCCGGAAACCAAAGTACGAGTTGTGGGGGGTTTTTAAAGGGCTACCAACAGCGGGAACTCGGAGTTGGCAGTTGAGACCATTTTCCTCCGCTTGTGCGTACACAAAAGTCGAAATCGGGAAGAGTGATTGCAGCCCGCATGACTGCGTTTCCTTGACTTTGTGCTTGGTGGTGGGGGAGGACAACAAAACCTCGTGGCCTCTAAAAGAGGCACGCCGCTTTCTGAATCCGAGAGCGAGAAAAATAATTCGAGAGAGCTTGGAAAAGTTCAATGAGCAAGCTACATTTCGACATTTCCCAGATTTTGCAATATTTAGCTGGGTTTGTGCCAACTTGCTGCCAAATTATAAATTTCTCAAGATGAAGGGTGTTCAGCCAAATTGCTGCCAGGCCCCGTAAGCAGGCACGAACAGCACTGGCTTAATTACACCTTTTCTTTCTCTCCCAGCCTTATTTAATTCGCCGCCTGATGAAGTCCTCATCCCGGGTGTCACTAACTGGCCCTTTTTGGGGCTGAACAGTCGCACCCTTCCCATGCCTCAGTAACTCCAAGAATTGTCTAAACCTTCACCCTCGTTCCGTTTTCTAGTCGATCTTGTCCTAAAATGCAACCCCATACAGGTAAATTCTTTTCTTTTTCGGGGTCTGGAAAATAAAGACGACAGAAACAAACATCAGACCTGTAAGAAAATGTTGTTCTCTTAAGAAGAAAGGTTTAGGCCAAGAGACCAAATTTGTTGTTTAACGTGAACCCCTGAAGGGGATTAAGCATAGTGAGCTTGAATGCGGTTAAACCAGCTTAATCACTTTCTTTGTTCTGGCTGTTCCCATTTACTTAAAGTGTTTGAAGGTGATTTGACACAACTTTAAACTAATTTCTTCTATGTTAGTGTAGTCTGCCCACGAACCATGCTTGCACTATTACAAGGTAAAGCTGCCTGTGGGACCCTTGACGTTTTCTAGAATTGTGTGTCACGCAGCTGTGGTGGCCGAGAGATAAAAAGGGAACCTTGGAAGGGAAAGGAGAGGTCATGTTTTCTTTTCTTCTTTTTTTTAATCTGAAGACTTTAACCATTTAGCCCACTCTTGTTAAATCCAGCTCGGCTCCACGTTTGCTTATTTTTGTCTGAAATGCGGTTTGTTTTGTTTGTTTGTTGTTGTCTCTGTTTGGTTTATTGTCTTCCAACAGGCAGGGAGGAAGCTCTCACTCTGGCTCTGGTAGATTCCGGGTCCTCTAGCCTTTACTCTTCTTCTTAAATAACAATTGTACCCTACTCCTTGCTAGCCCCAGATAGAGGGACATTCATTCACAAATGACTCCTGAGCCTCTGTTGAATGTCTACTTCCTTTAAGCCAAAACCTCCATACCAATGCTTAACAACCCCAGGCTTGCAAAGATGCAAGCAGAAAACCCCCAGTGCCTGGGAGGAAGAATCTCGTTTCTGTTGTACCTTTAAATCTTTTTACAGTGTGAGGGAAGAATAATAGCTGTTTTTAACTGTGAGAGCTAGACCTTGTTCTAAATGCTTCAAGTAATTGAACTCCTCTCAGTAGGTACAAGAGGTGGCCACTGTTGCTGCCACCATTCTACAGAACACCCAGCCGGAGAACAACAGATCTAGGATTTGAATACAGACTGTTTCCAGCTGCTTCCTGTCACCCAAGCTGATCCTCATTTAACTGCCCATGGAAAGAACAGTGACTCCCAATTCTCCACTTTTCCACGGAGGATGTCATCTATAATGTGAGCAGCTCCTTGGTTAGGCCAGGCGTTTTTCCTATGGAACTTCAAGAAAGTGAAATTTGAGACCTGCTTAGAGGAAGCATTCCCAAATCAGATTACTGTCTTGGAAACCAGCCTCCGACTGTCAGCATATGCATTATGAGCGCTAACCAGGAGAGACAGCGTTCCGACAGCGGGACACTGGTGCTTTGGAACATGCCTACCACCTGTTAGAAGAAGCAAGCCGCTGGGAGGACATCTTGGTACTCTTAGGCTAGTGCAGGTAGAGGTCAGAAGTGAAAGTGGGAAGAGAGGAGGTGGAAGACAAGAGAAAAATGAGTGTAGTGTGTGTGCACTTCGGATCTGTAATCCACTGCAAAGAATGAAGATCAGGGTCATGCAGAAGAGAGAGTGTGGGCGTGTTGTGACAGAGCCACAAAGGGAACATAAACATGAAAACTGAGCACAGGGCAGGGAAGGTGTTGGGGAGTCAGAATGGCTTTTCTCTCCAAGTGGAGCTTCGGAACAGGAATAATTTTAGGTTGGATTAATGGAAATACAGCCTCTGGAACAGCGGGAAAAAGCCACTCTCAGCTCTGTTACACCATTCCTAAGTAACACATTTTCCTCTAAGTGATAGAATAATGAAAACAACCGAAGCAAAGAGAAGGCTGAATCTTGCCTGACCAAGAAAGCTGGATTCATGAGTGATGGAAAGCAATTAGCAATTAGTATGGTGTGGTCATGTGAGCCTGTAATCCTAGCACTATGGAGGCAGAGGTTGGAGGATCACTACAGGTTTGAGGCCAGCCTGATCTACATAACAAGTTTCAGGCAAAGACCCTGTTTAAAAAATTAAACAAAGGAATCTAACTTGTTCGGGGCCAAAGCAAGGCTCTAGACAGATGGAATGGAACTTTCGGCACATATTTTAGAATAAGGAAGAGGTCCTGTAAATATAATCTAGGCCACCTTAGAATGGAACAAAGTCTGTATGACTAGCAGCACTGGAAATGTATATTATCGGGGGCCTGTGTGACACTATGCCTGTCCCAACATGTGCCATTTTCCGGGATACTATAGGAAGTGGGAGAACAATATAACCTGTTTCATGAGGCTGCTGAAAAGCATAGGATTAGCACTGTTTTGTTTTTCCAGAAACAGTTTCTCTGTGTGGTCCTGTCTGTCCTGAAACTCTGTAGACCAGGCTGGCCTCGAACTCACAGAGATCCTCCTGCCTCTGCCTCCCGAGTACTGGGATTAAAGGCATGCACCATCACCACCCAGCAATTAGCTTTGTTTTAAAGTCTACAGGTAAAACATTCTTGAAATTCTAGGACTCCATTTGTTCATCTTGTTGCTTTTGGGTTGCTGAAGACAAAGGCAGCACCTCGCACATGCTAGGCAAGCACTCTGTGTGGGAGCTGCATCTCCAGTTCTTGGCATTTTGAAAGAGAGTCTAACCTGGGCAGTGGTGTATGCTTTCATCCCAGTTCTTGGGGGAGGCAGATCTTTAATCCCAGCTGAGAGGCAGCTGGATCTCTGTGAGTTTGAGACCAACCTGATCTACAAAGTGAGTTCCAGGACTGCTAAGGGTGTTACACAGAGAAACCCTGTCTCAAAGAAACAGAAAAGGGGGGGAAAAAAAAAAGGAGTGTCTCACTACATACAATGCTACCATAACAACCTCTAAGGTTCAGTATTTGTGAATTTATCAGAGCAATTTTTTTTTTCTTCAAGACAGGGTTTCTTTGTGTAGCCCTGACTGTCCTGACACTCACTCTGTAGACCAAGCTGACCTCCAACTCAGAAATCTGCTTGCCTCTGATTCCTTAGTGGTGGGATTAAAAGCATGTGCCACCACTGCCCAACTGAGAGCCATTATTTGATCTTGTGCTTATAGATTGATTGATTTATTATATTTTGAGGCCGGGTCTTCCTGTGTAGTCCCTGCTGACTTGGAACTTGAGATCATCCTGAGACCTCTGCTAGGCAAGCAGTCTACCATTTGTGTGTGTATTTTACTTCTGGGAAAAAGCAAACAAAATCAGGCATGGATGCATTGGAGAAATAGCTCAGTAGTTAACAGTACTGGCAGAAAACATGGGTTCATATCTTAGCACACACACTAGCTTAAAACCACCTGTAGCGCTGCTGGGGATGGTGGTGCAGGCCCTTAGTCCCAGCAGAGGCAGGCAGATCTCTGTGAGTTCAAAGCCAGCCTGGTCTAGAGAGTGAGTTCCAGGACAGCCAGGGTTGTTATACAGAGAAACCCTGTATCGAAGGGAAAAAAAAAACTAAGAAATAGTGACTGCCATATACCTCCCTCCCCCATTTTAGATGTTCACTAGAGGACCTTAGCTTAAACTTGATTTGTCCTATAGAAAGAAACCGGCTTTAACAGGACTGTTGAGTGTCCTTGTTGCCAACACAAGGTAAAAATCATTTCACTTCTCTCTTCTTCCATTCTGTTTTTCTCTTCATGCTTTAATCATTTTGACACCAGGCTGTACAAAAGTAATTTAAAATTAAAATGTCTGACACTTGGAGGCTGGCAGAACCTGATTCTGAACCCTGCCCCCTCTCTGGGGCAGCCAGAAACCATCTTTCATTGGCTACTGGTCCTGCAGCAGCTGATGAAGGGCCCAGGAAACACATCCAACAATTAATTTGCTAATTTAGTTTTCTGTCTAATTTGAAACCAGAAAACCCTCAATCACCCAGGAGCCTGCTCTCTGGCTCCAGTGCTGGCTTCTGAAACTTCCTGTCTTGTAGCTCTCAGAGAAGCAGAAAAGGAGAGATTTTACGTCGTTAGGCACATAATATTCTCCAGTGTGTCTTCCAGTGGTGTTCTATAGGGTCATAGTTCACAAGTCGTGTTACCAGGAGAACTGGAAAACAATACATTCAGAAAGTGTTCAGTGTGGTCAATCTGCTTCCTGAATCATGGGGAATTTCCATGTGTTCAGGATTTAGAAAAGTCAGGTTTCAAACAACTCAGATGGGTCACTAGCATAGAGGCAAGCATGGCTCTGAACGGCCATGCTGTGGTCAGTCAGATAACTTCAGTGGGATGAGGGGCAGAGAAAGTGGCATTGGTGTGTTATGGGACGGCAGACATAGGCAGCCTTCCGCAGACCCTCACTGGCCTTTGCCTCCTGGAGGGCTCAGCCAAGAAGAAGTGGTAGGATTCACTCTCAGATACACTGCAGAATCTGTCCCTGCTGCCACTTGGAGAATCCTTTGCTGTTAGTGGCCTCATCTGCTTCCTCCATTCCCACCCCAGACAGGTTGAACTCTTCTGCCTGATGTCTTAACATCTTCTGTATCTTTGCTCCACCAATCCCTAATTCGAGCTGCTCATGAGTACATATTCAAATTTGGCGAGACTCCTTGTTCTCAGAACATACTGCTCTGGCTCTGCCTCCAAATCCTTTTCCATTTCCTAGTGACTTTCCTCCCTGTGCCCCTGGTGCCTTCACTCAGCTTTCTGAACCCCGAGTCTCACTTCTACCTCTTCCCCAGCACTGATTCTCTCTTCCTGCTTTCACATGGGTAGTGATGTACCAAACTGTTGACCATTTGGATAAAAGTCATTTGTAACTTTTTTGTTTTCTTTCTTTTTCTTTTTCTTTTTTTTTTTTTTTGAGACAGAGTTTCTCTGTAGCTTCTCTGTAGCTTTGTGGCCTGTCATGGAACTGGCTCTGGCTCTTGTAGATCAGCCTGGTCTCTCTCTCTCTCTCTTTTAAAAAAACTTTTGTTTGTTTGTTTTTCTGTTAGCACTGCCCCCCCAAACTCGCTCTGTAGACCAGGCAATTTCTCTCTAACTCACAAAGCTCCACCTGCCTCTGCCTCCCAAGTGCTGGGATTAAAGGTGTATGCTACCAATTCCTAGCCTTAAACTTTTTTAAAATGACTTTTTTTTTTTGTGTGTTTTATGTGCATTGATGTTCTCCGTGCATGTATGTATGTCAGACAGCATGTTCATGGGGGTGAACTCCACCCTGGAGGTGGAGTTACAGACAGTTGTGAGCCACCATGTGGGTGGTGGGAATTGTATTGCAGGTCCTCTAGAAGAACAGCCAGTGTTCTTAGCTATTGAGTCATCTCTCCAGCCCTCATAGTTTCTTAATTTTTTTGTTGGTTTTTTTTTTTTAAAACATTTTATTTATTATGTATACAGTGTTCTATCTGCATGTACACCTGCAGGTCAGAAGAGGGCACCAGATCTCATAGATGGTTGTGAGCCACCATGTGGTTGCTGGGACCTGAACTCAGGGCCTCTGAAAGAACAGTCACCCCTTTTAACCTCTGAGCCATCTCTCTAGCCTCCTTGTTGGTTTGTTTTTGAGACAGGTTCTCACTCTGTAGTTCTGGTTGTCCTAGAACTCACTACTTACACCAGGCTGACCTTGAACTCACAGAGATCCGCCTGCATCTGCCTTCCAAACTCTGGGCTGAAAGATGTGCACCACTACTCCTGGCTAAGGATTTATTTTTATTCATGTGTGTGTGTCTGTGTGTGTGTCTGTGAGGGAGTATATGCACATGAGTCCAATTGCTCATGGAAGCCAGAAAAAGGCATTGGATCCCCTGGAGCTGGAGTTAAAGGCAGTTGTGAATTGGGTGCTGGGAACTTCAAAGACAGGGGTTCTGTGAGAAGAGAACGTGCACTTAACTGCTTAGGCAGCTCTTTAGCCCCCATTTAGTTATTTCACATCTTAGTTCTGCCTTTCCAAATAGACTGTAAAGTGCCTGTGTTCAGGTTAGAGTGCATGCACTGACTGACCACTCACAAAGGTCCCTGTGTCCATCATGACAACCACTGGGTGCTTGTTAAACAGATTAGTTCTAAGGAGGTGGCGGGGGAGGGGTGAGTTCCACACTTGTTTATGTAGGGAGACCCAGCTTCAAAAGCCAATACCACAGGCCAGCAGATAGTACCTCCCTAAGATTCCATTTTGTAAGATGTGGCCCAGAAATCTGTATTTTTTTTATATATGCCGTAAGAATGACCAATCATCGTCTTCTTCTTCTTTTTTTTTTTCTTTTTTCCCTGCTTTTTCGAGACAGGGTTTTCCTGTGTAGCTGTCCTGGAACTAGCTCTTGTAGACTAGGCTGTCCTTGAACTCACAGATGTCCGCCTGCCTCTGCCTCCCAAGTGCTGGGATTAAAGGTGTGTGCCACCACCATCTGGCCAAAACTAGCCAGTCTTCTCATCAGAGCTAGGGAATCATTGCACATACCTCTTGGCACAGGAAACACTCAACTTCAGTATAAACAACTGCACTGGGGCTGGAGAGATGGCTGGCTCAGTGGTTGAAAACTCTGCCTGTTCTTCCAGAGGTTCTGAGTTCAATTCCCATCAACCACATGGTGGCTCACAACCATCCATAATGAGATCTGGTGCCCTCTTCTGACTTGCAGGCATACATGAGGCAGAACACTGTTTACACAATAAATCATTAAAAAAATAAACATCTGTACTCAACTATATAAGGAAATGTATTCATATCACATCTGGTGAGAGTAGAGTTCAGTGGCCACGTGTGCTTGGCAAAAAAATGAAATACTGAAGCAGGGCATAGTGGTGCACACTAATCCCTGCACTCAGGAGGTAGAGTCCAGGACAGAACTATGTAGAGAGACCCTATCTCAAAGCAGGGTGGGGGGGAGGCACTGCCTTTGGGTTAGTCCAGGAGAGGAAGGACTTGTTTGTACTTCACCGAAGCATTCCACAACCAAGCCTGCCCCTAGTAGTACACGTTTGGTATGTGGGCACAGATCAAGTGGGTAGAACTGTAGTTGGTTGAAATGGAATAATTCCCTATGCTCCTGCACCAGCTTAGGAGTGATGTTTAGAAGGCAGAGAAGTCCAGCATGTGAAAGAGTTGGTCTGATTGTGTCCTAGACACATCTACAGAATTAGCAAAATGACCCTTCACTCAGACCCTGAGTCCAGCTCAAGCAGTAAGTGATGGACTCAGTCCTGATCCCCTCCTGGGCATTTGTGCCTCAGAAGGTCCACCAGACATGAGGGTTATCTTCATACTCCAACCTCACTCGACGGGCAAGCTGCCCAGAGCCAAGGATTTGCCCTCAGATGGCACCTGGACAGTGTTCTGCAACTTCCCATGCTCTGTGTCCTCGGTGAAGTCCCTGCTTGCTCAAACTGGAAGAAGGGTCACTTCCAGTTGTTTTTTGTTTGTTTGTTTGTTTGTTTGTTTGTTTTTTGAGACAGGGTTTCTCTGTGGCTTTGGAGCCTGTCCTGGAACTAGCTCTTGTAGACCAGGCTGTCCTCAAACTCACAGAGATCCGCCTGCCTCTCCCAAGTGCTGGGATTAAAGGTGTGCACCACCACCGCTGGGCTCAGTTGTTTGTTTTTATTTGAGAGGCTAAGACAGCAGGGAGTTTAAAGCCCCTGTGCTACATAACCCCAGGCTAGCCTGGGCTACACAAGTCCCTGCCTTAAAAAGGAGCAGATGGGTTAGGTGTTGGTGCAGGCCTTTAGTCCGAGCACTCAGGGCAAAGACAGGTGGATCTCTGTCAGTTTGAGGTCAGCCCCTGGTCTACTTTGAGTTCCAGGACAGCGGGGGCTGTTACACAGAGAAACTTGAAAAAGCAAACAAACAAACAAAAAAACAGAAAGGAGCAGATAGAAGGGGTTAGAAAGGTGAAAGGGCTCAGAGGTTTAAAAAAAAAAAGAAAAATCATTTGCTGCTCCTTCATAGAAACCCAATTCAATTCCCAGAACCCACACTGAGTGGCTCACAACTGTCTATAACTCCAGCTCTGAGGAATCTGGCCTCCATGGGCACAACCAGGTGTCATACACAGACCCACACCCACACATATACATAAATGAAAATAAAGCTTTTTAAAGGCAGGGGCTGGAGAGATAGCTCAGAGGTTGAGGTACTGGCTGCTCTCCCAGACGACCTGAGTTCAGTTTCCAGCACCCACATGGCAGTTTATAACTGTGCTTCCAGTTCCAGGGGATCAGACATCCTCACGCAGACACACATTCAGGCAGAACACCAATGTACATAAAGTAAAAATTAATTTAAAAAAATAACTGAGTGAGGCCAAGCATGATGGCACATGTCTTTATTCTCAGCACTTGGGAGGCAGAGGCAAGCAGATACCTGAATTCAGAGCCAGTCTGGTCTACAGATCCAGTTCCAGGACAGCCAGGACTACACAGAGAAACCCTGTCTTAAAAAAAAAAAAAAAAGCCAGGCAGTGATGGCACATGTCTTTAATCCCAGCTCTTGGGAGGCAGAGGCAGGTGGATCTTAGTGAGTTTGATGCCAGCCTAGTCTTCAAAACAAGTTCCAGGACAGTCAGGACTGTTATACAGAGAAATTCTGTCTCGAAAACCAAAAAGAAAAAAAAAGAAAAGAAGTAAAAGGCTGGTGAGATGGCTTATCAGTTCAGAGCACTGTTCTTCCAGAGGACCAGGATCCAATTCCCAGCACCCACATCATGGCAGCTCACAATTGTCTATAACTCCAGGATCTGACACCCTCCTACACAGACATACATGCAG